GATTTCTCTCTTTTCATCACCTGCTGTACTTCACAGCTCCAAATACAGGCAGCAATAAGACAGTTTGCTTCCCTGTCCAGCCAGCACAGCTTTTCTAAGACAACAAAAAAGGAGGACAGCAAAGAAGTTCTCATCTGCAGGTGGTCAGCAGCTTCAGAAGCAGAGACACCTGAGGCTATCCTTCTGACCTTCCTCCTGCTGCCTGCAGATCCCCTCAATCAGTAGACAAAAATGTGGAAGTTTTGGGGTTTTGGCCAAATCCATCCATTAGTCATTCAGTACTCACTTGTCATGGGTGTCACTGGTGGTGGTCTCATTCAATGTGAAGAGCTCCTTCAGCTCCCCAAGTGAGAAGTGCCTTTCTACATCCTGTTCTTCATCCACCACGCAGCTGCTGAGGGCCTTCTTGTGGGTCTGGCGTTGGAATATCTTCTCCTCTATAGTCCCCGTCTACAGGAGAGAGGGTCAGAGCTGAAGCACAGTTGGGACACTAGCGTTAAAGGAGCACTACATTGGGAAAGTGCCACAGTTCAAATGGCAGCAAGCTGTCAGGACCATTCAGTGCCTTGCCAGAGCAGTACAGATGACAGGCAAGTTTTACCAGCTGTGCCCCAACCACGTGCTATTTGGTTGCTGATCTAACCCAACTCTGCTTCTCTTATCTTTCACTGCAGCTACAGGAATGGACCCAACAGAGGTAGGGATGAGGAAGAGGTGGAGCTGCCACTTGTGGCTGGAGCTCACATACCACACTGGGTTGTGCTGACAGGAAGGAAGGGAAAGGAGCTGAGCAGCTACAGCCACTCCCTGACAAAAAAAGCCCAAAACACCTCCCCCCAAAAGAACCAACCCCAAGCACAACTTCCCCCAAAAAACAACAAGGGCTAGCCCTGGGTAACACGAGCACAGGCAGTATTTGCTGGTTTACCCCCACACAGGTCAATCACATGCATTGTCTGGAGGGAGATGACTACTAGTATAGCTGTGCAGAAAGCCCAGTGCACTACATTTCTAAGGCAAGAATCTAAGAGCAAAATGTCTGTTTTGCAAAGAAATGTAATACAGAGGAGGGGGGCGATCAGTCACGATCTGCAGACTGGTTTGCTAGTTCTAAAAGCAAAAGGACCTCCCTGCTTCCAGGTGCAGCCAGATCAGAGAAAAACTGGAACACTAATTCTGTTTTGTCACAGTAAAGTGACAACTGGTTAAGGAACACAAGCTTACAAAAAATAAACAAAAATTGCCACAGTCTGAACCACTGAGAGGTGAAGGCAAAGGGCAGAGGTGAGCTTTCTGAGCCGTGATCACTGCTGGCACTGCTGGACAAACGTTACAGTAGCCCAAGAAGACAAGTCTCCTTCATGCTTTTCCTATACAGAGCAGCTACTCCAGCAGCTCCGCTCCAAAAGCTGCTGTAATTCTGGGAATGTACTTGCTGTTTATTAAGTACACATACACCCAACCAAAACAGACTGCAGCCAGACTGAACAACAGCAACTTTGGCATCAGATATCTCACAAAATTAAAGAAGTCGGATGCCTAAATGACTTCAAAGCAACATCTTATCTGGAAAGCTGCAGTTGTTTATTTCTCAGAAGCCAGTCACACTGCTGGTACTGCTGGACAAACGTTACAGTAGCCGAAGAAGACAAGTCTCCTTCATGCTTTTCCTTCACAGAGCAGCTACTCCAGCTGGTAACCGGCAGCTCCGCTCCAAAAGCTGCTGTAATTCTGGGAATGTACTTGCTGTTTATTAAGTACACATACACCCAACCAAAACAGACTGCAGCCAGACTGAACAACAGCAACTTTGGCATCAGATATCTCACAAAATTAAAGAAGTCGGATGCCTAAATGACTTCAAAGCAACATCTTATCTGGAAAGCTGCAGTTGTTTATTTCTCAGAAGCCAGTCACCGTTACAAACCAAAGCCTGCAGTAACAACCCTCCAGCTTGAACCTTCGTAGTTTTCCACAGCAAGACGTCTAAAGGTAGGAAGCAATTAAGTTCCAATCCATTCTGGTCACTGACACAAAAAGGTTCTTCCCCTTCTGGTCCCAATCACAGCAGCTGCAGTCTGTGCTGGCACCAAAAACTCTGTTTTAAGGATGTGAGAGGATTAAGACTCACTGAAAGCAGTCGATAGATGTAGCACATCTTCTTCTGGCCATCCCGCCACACGCGAGCCATGGCCTGCTCATCGTTCGCTGGATTCCAGTCTGGGTCGAACATAACCAGTCTGTTAGCCCCAATCAAATTCAAACCACAGCCACCTGCTTTGCTGCTTAACATGAAGATAAACTCAGGGCTCTGTGGAAAAAGACAGGCTTGGGTTAAACTACAGAGGCAGCCATACTTTCACTCACAGCATTCAGAACTGGCAGGAGAGCCGCTCACATCTGGCAGGTTCTACTTACCGAGGGGCTGTTGAATCGCTCCACAATC